ACCACGTCCATACACAAAGCCCACATCTCTAAGGAGGGCAACTCACAACAGAGGCACCTATTATCTGTGGTATTCTTTTCTCTAAGGCTTTCATTAATGAGGACAGCAAAATTGCAAAAGAATATGGCAGGGGATGAGGACAGAGTTTATACAAGTGGAAAAGGACTTTATCATTCCATAAACATTTACTGAGCCTTTTCTATTAACCCTGACCTCTTTCATGTAGGAACTTTAGTGGTGGCCTTGTAACTACAGCTCTGCTCTTCTGGAATGAACTTTTAATATGAGCCACAAGTTCATAGAATATCCTGTAACTTTTCCCCTGAAAAACATATCTTAAATTGTGGGTTCTGATGAAGAAGACCTGAGTCAGAATGGATGTGCCTGCAAACTGAATCATCAGTGTCAGCACGATTCTTTTGGGACTGAGGGAGAGTGGGCAAGGGAGACTCAGTCTATATATGGCAAGCAATCTGCAAGCAAATTCAGCCTGAAGCTCAGGTTTCTTGGCAGGTCCTGTAAAGCTTTCTGTGATCTGGCCTCTCCTTCATCTCTCTCCACTCTCCAACATGCTCCCTCAGCTCACATTATCCCCAGTCTGAGTTTAGATCTGGGTCAACATTCCCTGTCTTTGCTCATACTCTGTGTAGGTTGCCCTTTCCCCAGCTAACCCCTGGCCGTCTCCTATCCAGGGTTTAATAACCCAGTCTATTTATCACCTTCCCTCTAAGCCCTTCTACAGCTCATACCTCTCCACACAAGGCACTTCCATGCAATACACTCACAGCCTCCTGTGCTCACCTCTAGCACTGCCTCACCTGACTGGACGGCAATGATCTACTCATAATACCTACCCCCTGGGCTGTAGCTGAGAAAAGGAGCCTACCTCATCCCCATTGACAGAGAAGTAGAGACAAACATAGGATTGAAGCTTAGCATTAAAAGGGTTACCCATCATAAATGCTAGCTCTGCTATTCACTAGCTGTGTGACTCTAGATAAGATGCTGAATCTCTGTGTACTTCAATATCCTCAGCTTTACAAAAGAGGCAATAAGCAATTTATATTATTGGGGTATTGTGAGAATCAAACAAGTTCGTATATTAATATATTTAAAGCACTAAGAATAATGTCTGGTAAAGAGCAAGATTTATGTAAGAGTTCATTATCATTACCTTGTTGTTAAATATACATGGAATAAAGAAAAATGTTTCTTGTAGCTGAAGCAAACTTCTGAATTCACATGCTGACCCAGTTCTGCCCTGACTAGTAGACGGTGTTATGCAGCCCCTCGCTCCACATCCACAGAAAGAGACACAGAACTTCCACTCTGGCTGGTATGCAGGACTTGATTTCTTTCCTCCCCCTAAACCAGCCAACTTGGTACTCCTAAACTCTACAGTCTTTATGCAAAGGAAACTGTGGCTCAGTTCCTCGATGCTTCGGCCCCAGAAAATAAGTCCACTCTAGAACATCAATGCTGGGAGGTACTTTAGAGATGATTTGATCTAAATACCATCCCTGTATCAGGTAGGAGAACTTAGACCAGGAGAGGTTGTGTGTTCATACTTCGATCATTCTTAGTTTTTATCTGTTACTTGTCACATAGCTAACTTTGTAGAAAGTACTAGGAGTAAGTAGTAAGAGTACTAAGAGTATAAGTATAGATGAGCAGATAATCTGATCTGGCTATTTTCACCACATCCCAGGGTGTCTAGCTGAGACATGAGTTCTGTTGCACGGATTTCATTCATTCATTGAACGTTGATTGAACACCTACTTGTGTAGGACACAGGCAACACACAATCAATAAGGGATACCCCAATGTTCCGCCTTCAGGAACTCATAGACTAATGGAGAAAAGTGTCATTAATAATAACTCACCTAATGGCAAAGTCTTAGTGTTTGGAGCAAATTAGGTCTTAAAATATATTAGCATGAGCCTCTCCACTTAGATGTCTACATGCTTTGAGAGGAAGAAAAGGCTCTGAGGGGAGTTAGTGTGCAGTTAAACAGTTGTTGTCGTTGATTGCCACCGAGTCGAGCACAACTCATAGTGACCCTATGAACAAAAGGCCTGAATCCTTTCTATAACTACCATCATTTATCAAAGTTCACAGAGTTAAACTAGCCACCTAAAAGTGTCCATCAAGTGTAAGTTCTTGTTGTCGGCTGTCAAATTAGAACTGGCCCATAGCTAACCCTCCAGCAAGTTTTCAGAGGTGGTAAATCACATGGAAAGAGACCACCCATCCTTCTACCACAGAGCACTGGTGGATTCAAACTGTGTGCCTTTGGAATTCAGCACAGCTTCTTACCACTAAGCTTCTTACACAAGCTCCCTAGTGTAGCAGTCTCACACAAATTAACATTACCATTATGTAACCGTAGCTTTAACTGGGAACCACTGAACAAGCTCTATTCACCCCCCATTTCACAGACAGGAAAACTGAAGACTAAAAAAGTTAAACTGACTTGCCCTAAATAGCAAAGCTGAATAACGGAAGAATCTTACAATTCTGTAAATGGCTCATGCAGCCTTCAAAAAACGTCCAGACTCCATAGGAGGACACATCACTGGATTCTTGCTCACCTCTCCAGCCTTGTCTCTCATTATCCACCTCTCACATTACGATCTGACCTTACTTACAACCTGCAAAGCTATAACTGTACCTCTTGCTTTGCCATTACTACTCCTTACTTGGCTATCCAGAGTCCACAGGCCCTCACCTCACCTCTTGCACTGAAGAAAGCTCAGATTCCTCTCCTCCAGGAAACCCATTCGAAGTGTCCTTCCTCTACCTCCCACAGCACCTCTACCTTTATTTGTACAGAAACACTCACCACATAATATATTCATCCATTCAACAAATATTTATTAAGCAACTTCTATGCCAAACAACTTAGGATACAATAGAAAATAAAACAAAGCCCTCGCTCCCACGGAGCTTACAATCTAGTAAGGGTCACAGATAGACAATAAAATAATACATAAAATATTTATCAGGTAGAGGAAAAAATATACGAAGAGCAAGAACTGGAGACCTCACTGAGGAGGTGGCATTGGACAGATATCTGAAGAAGTAACAGGAAGCCATGCAAAAAACAGGGGAAAGAGAAGTTCAGGAAGTAGTAGAAAAGATTCTGTAATTGCTACAATTACCTTTTTTAAACTTTTGGGGGTAAAGACTACATCACAGCCATTGTAGACTCCCAGGGCCCAGCCTTGAATACCCCAGATGAAATAGACTGACACAGTTTGGGGTAATGGGGGTAAGTGTTTCGGAGACAGTAAGACTGGCTCAGGGCAGGCTCCAGAGCTACTGTACATAGGGTTGTTAGGAGTCACAGGTGACTCAATGACACATAACAACAACAACAGTGGCCTTGTGGCAAGAAGCTGAGCTGCAATCTCAAAGGCACATAGTTCAAATCCACCAGCTAATCTGCAGAAGGATGGGCAATTTCTTGTATGATTGAAAACCCACTAAAAGCCTCTGAAAACCTGCTGGAGAGTCAGTTCTGATTTGGTTCTAATTCCACGGCACACAAAACCAACAAAAACATAGGGCATTTACTAAAGGAGTGTACTAAGACGGGATGACTGCCGGTTACTGAGTTCACCTGGGCCCATGACTGTCTCTCCCAGCAGAGCCCCTGATTAGGTCACCAGTCTCACCTGCCTCCAGGAGCTGCTTTCAATACCAGAATCAGCATTTATGAGTTTTCTAATTCATCTTGCTTTGACCCTCATATTTCTGGCCTGGATCTGAGGCCCTGTCTATAAACCCTAGGCTCCATAACTGGAAACATCTCCCTGCTTTCCCCAGGCATGAAAGTCTCCCTGTGAAACCCAAAGCCCCACGGCAGGGGGACCTGGCTCTGAGGTCAGACTTCTCCAGTGGCAATCACCTATCCACTTGGAAGTATGCCCTGCCTGACTCTACTCTACAAACCACATGACTTCTTCCTGCTGGTAAATGAAGCCTCTAACCACATCAATGTCTCTTCATGTTCCAACTTTGTAAAACCATTACAGAACTTTGCAGAGCCAAGGCCAGGGGTGGGTATCACAATCTTTGTGGTGCCTGCTGCAACTGGGCCTAAGTCTCTAGTCTAGCCTACTTTGCCCTGCAACCCTAGCACTGCAGGAGCACAGGAAGCAGCCTTACATGTTGCAAATAAAGACAAAGGTTTTACACCCTTAGCCTGCAACATGCACCTCTGGGTATAACAGGTGCCTCGTTTTAGCACCTACCCGGTCTAAACTGGTGAATAACCAATTCTTTCATTCATTCCTTCACCCACCCCAAACTGATACCTACTATAAGCCAATACCTGGAACATGAATTAATGTGATGATGACGATGGACATTTAGAAGGAGGAAAGAAAGCAGAAAGAAAGTGGTAAGATTAGTACTACTTACTGCATTGAGTAGTGGGTCTTCTAACAAAACTACAAGATAAGTATTATTAACTTTACAGAGGAGTAAATAGGCTTAAGAGGTGAAGCAATGAGTTCAAAGTAACACAGCTAAAGGGTAGGATAGAGTGAGACCCTAGATGTGTCTCCAAATAGCACCTGTCTCTGGGAATTCACAGTAAGCGCTACAACATACTCAACTTGAAGTGAATGGCGGAGGATGGTGGGGGGAGACTAGGTCCCCTGTCCTAAAGAACCAAATATCAAGGATGAGGCAGATAGAAAGAAGCAAATCTCAGAGATCAAGTTGTGGGCGCAGAAGTTTGGAAACCACTTGAAAAGCTTTAGGGCAGCCCGAGGCAGAGAGAGTGGCTGGCTTGGTCAGAAGGGGTCTGGGAAGCTTTCTTGGAGGGGACTTTGGGACTAAGCCTTGAAAGATGACTGTGGCTGACAGCAGGCTCCAGTGTGGCGCACAGCAGGAACTCGGCCCTTGCCCGCCGACCTGGCCTGGGCCGTACCGGGTCCTTTGAGGTTGTCCTGTCCACCCCCCTGTGCCCACGCGGCGGGCCGGGCCTCACCTCCTTCCACTTGAGCTGGCGGATGCTGATCTTCAGCGCTTCCAGCGAGGTCCTGGCTTTGGAGCTGTCCACGGTGACCGGCCGCCGAGGGCGGGACTCGGGACAGCGGCCTGAGCTTCCCCTGCAGCTTCGGCCCTTGCTCTTGGGTTTGCCATGCGGGCAGAGGTCCCGCGCGGGAGTCGGTTTGGACTTGTGCGGCGAGGCCGACGGCTGCGGGGCATCGCGAGCATCCCCCTCCTCGGCCGCGCGGGGTCGCGCCGGGCCTGGCTCCTTGCGCTGCTCCACCCCGGGCTTGCGCTCGGGCTCCCCGGCGGCGCCTGTGTCCAAGCGGACCTGCTCCTCAGTCGTCCTCGCCGCTGCAGCTGCTGCAGCCGCCGCCACCGCCGCCTCCGCCTCCCATCTGACTGCCTGCTGCCTCTCGGGGCTGCCCGGCAGCATGGCGCTCAAGGCCGGCGACAGGGCCAGTGCCGCCGCCGCCGCCGCCGCTCTGCTGCACCAGGTCGCGACCAAGCTGTCGCCGCTGCCACGCGCTCCCTGCCTGAGCCCGTTGCCATGATCGTTCAGGCTCCGGTTGACAAGGACAGTCGCCGCCTGGGGACGGAGCCTGGAATGGGACAATCGCGGACCAAGCCCCAGCGACCTCATAGGAGGGTGCAGCCACGTGAGCAGGCCTGTCACAGAGGCGGCTGCGGCCATCTTGGAAGAGGGCGAAGGTCCCACTCCAGTCCTCCCACTCAGAGAACTCGGGAGGATGAAGAACTTGGAGAGATGGTGGAAGTGAGTTAGGGGGTAGAAAAGTTGTTTCCCCACTCCGCTAGAATAACTCCTCCTCTGAAAGAGGAGGCATGACCCTCCCCACCTTCCTTTCCCTAGGAATTGATGAGAAGCATGCCAAGTCCAGATCTTTGGGGAGTGAGCAGCCTCTCATTGGAAGAAACATCTTTCTAGTCTTAGGAAAGCCCCTAACGTGAGAAGGAGACGCTTCCCCTGTTTTTAGAAAAATCCCACTGAAGTGAGGAAACCATGAGAGGTCTAGCCAATTTGAAGAGTAGGTTCATAGTCTAGCAACTGCTCTTGCTTGTTATGTTTGTTTTGGAGGTTTGAGTAGTTTTGTGGACTGGGGGAGGAGGAACTGGAAGGATCATTTAATAAATCTGAACATATTTTTTCTTCTGTTTCAAATCTGTATCCTCTGTTATGCATGTGGGTTTGATAAAGTGAACAAAAACTAAAGCACAGAAATGTCCCTTCAGTAAGTTGATGATCGTTGTGTGCTGTCGAGTCGGAACCGACCCATAGCTGAACCTCCAGAGGAGGTTGCCCATCCTTTTCTTGTGTGGCAGTTGGTGGATTCGAACCATGTAACTTCATGATTGCAGTTCAGTTTCTTGCCATTAAGCCAATCGGAGCTCCATTAGTTGATGAAAGGGAATGTAATCAGTGAGGATCTCTGGAGACCTAGTGGTAAAAAGATGCGCTGCAATCCCAGAGGCACGTGGTTCATTCAAATCCATGGTTCATCTCATACGCAATTTACTGCCTCTGAAAACCTACTGCAGGTCAACTGTGGGCCAGTTCCAACTCTAAAGCACACAACAACAACCAGCAATAATCAGAGGAAGCAAAAATGGAAATCTCGTGTCCGTTAAAATGGGATCATGCTCCGTTTTAGTTGATATTTCAACATCAATCACTGCTGTATTAAAAGCATCTTTTTTAAAAAAAAAGTATGTTATGCTGTTTTATACAGGTTTCTTGTTGATCTGCCTGTAATTGATAGCAGGAATTGCAATCCCAAATGTTAATTGAGGACACATATTTTAAATAAGACATGTGACTCGAAGGTGTATGACAAACGGGCACGAGTGATTGACACAATCTCCATGCATGTATAGTGTTGTTATATCAGAATTATATAGTTCTGTAGTTAGGTGCACGATGGGTGATTAGTAATTAAGTGATAACTCCAACTCTTGATTTTTAACATTACTTTAAAAAAAACAAAAACAAAAAATAAACAACAACTTACTTTTAAGTCAATCCAAGAAAAGGGCTATCTCCTCTCAACTGAAGAAGCCACAATCTGTTTGGAGAGTTTGGGAAGATGTTTTAGCAACACAGAGTGAAGCCAGTGCTCATCATTGACCATGGGTGAGCTCTTTCTCTTCAAGAAAATAAAAATCCTCACCACTGGACCAGAATTCAACATCAAGATAGATGGAGAAAAGATTGAAATAGTCAATGATTTCATTTTACTTGGCTCCACAATCAACACCCTTGGTACCAGCAGTCAAGAAATCAAAAGGTGTTTTGCATTGGGAAAATCTGTTGTCAAGGACCTCTCCAAAGGGCTAAAAAGCAAAGATATCAGTTTAAAGATTAAGTGCAAGTGATCCAAGGCATGACCTTTTCAATTTATGTATTGAACAATAAGGATGATGGGGAAAGAATCAATGCTTTTGAGTTGTTGTACTATTGGGGGAAAGTACTGAATATCCCATAGACTAGCAAAGGAGCCTACAAGTGTTTCTTGAAGGAAGTGCCGCCAGGGCCCTCCTTAGAGGCAAGGGTGGTGAAAGTTTGTTTCACATCTTTTGGGCATGTTGTCAGGATGTCCTTGGGAAAGGACATCATGCTGGGAAGGGTGGAAGATCAGAGAAAGAGAGGAAGACTCCCAACTGGAGAGATCAGCACAGGACTGTAGCAATAAATTTGAGCCTATCAGAGAGATCAGAGTTCATGAATATGGTCCAGAATAAGGCAAGGTTCAGATCTATCGTTCACAGGATCAATATGAGTCACAAGTTCTTGATGGCACCTAACAACAGTAACAACATCTCCTCAATAAGTTGAAAGTGAGGCAGAAGTTGACGAGTCAGGTGAACCCTTTTTTATACTCCCCTGGCTTCTGTTTCTTTGGGAGAATAAACATCACAGAAATTTAAGTCATAAACCCAAGACGTGTAAAACTCCTTTTTTGCAGCAGAGGGCGCTCTAACCTCTTTCCCTAGAGTCCACCATGGTTTTAGTCCAATGATCACCAGACTGCCTGGACCCATTTCTGGCAGAGTGCTTGTTTAGAATACAGGCTCCTGAGCCTCAACCCCAGAGGCAGTGCAGTGTTATGAGCACCTGGAAATCTGCACGCTGAATTAACTCCTTTTCTTATCCTCAGGTTGCCGAAATCAAGAACCAATTCTATCTGAAGGCCCCTGGAGGTCCTTTAAGGAACCCTGGTGGTACAATAGCCAAAGCACTCAGCTGCTAAGTTGAAACTACCAGTAAACAGGAGAAAGGTGTTGCAGTCTGCCTCTGTTAAGACTTAAAACCTTGGAAATCCTGTGAGACAATTCTACTCTAGCCTACAGAGTCACTATGAGGCAGAATCAACTTGATCGCAATAGATTTGGTTGGTGGGAGTGGAGGGTGAAAGTGTGAAAGGTGAGGGGTGGGGAGAGGTTTGGAGAAGCTTGGAGCTGTCCAAGGTACCAATGAAAAGCCTCACTGCCCTTAATCTTTCTCCACCTACCTCCCCACACACCCTGCAAATCCTGTCCCTCCCCCTGGTGTCCTCATCACAGCAAGTAGTATGTGTCTCATCCGCATTCCGTTACCAAAGCTTGAGGGTTTTTGTTGTTGTTATGTGACACCATGCCGGCTGTAACTCATAGTCACCGTGATGCAACAGAATGAAACCCTGCCCTGTCCTACGCCATCCTCATGCGCCATCTGTCACCATGTTGTTGCACTGTGTCAATCTATCCCACAATCCATCCTCCCTCTCTTTCACTGACCCTTTTCCAAGGAATGCTTGAGGATTACAGTGTCCTAACTTAGCCCTCTCCCTTCTCCTCTAAAACCATGCCGTCACCAACTTAAATGTTAGAGGGTCTTACATAGAAGAGTCTCTCCTATCATTGCCCTAATGCAGACTTCTCTCTTTAGCCTGGGTCATGTGGTTGTTATGTGCCACTGAATCTCCCCCAACTCATAGGGACCCTATGTACAGTAGCTCTGAACCCTGCCCTATCCTGAGCCAGTCTCACTGACTCCCAAACACCTAATCCCATTGCCCCAGTTACCATGTTAATCCACTTCATCCAGAGTCTTCCTCTCCCATGCTGCCCCTCTACCTTTCTAATCATGATGTCCTTCTCCAAGGACTTGTCCCTTCTGGCCATGTGCTCAAAATATGTGAGATGGAGCTTCAAAATCCTTGCCTCCAAGGAGAAGCTTGGTTTCATCCTCTCCAAGACAGGCCTACTTGTTCTCCTGGAGGTCTGTGGTATGTCCCATATTCTTCTCCAGCACCACAATTCAAAGGCATCAAGTCGTCTTCTGTGATCCTTAGTCATTGTCAAGCTCTTGAATGCATAGCAAGTAATTGTGATGACCATGACCTGAATCAGGTACACCTTAGTCTCTAGACTGACATCATTGCTCTTTATCACTTTAGGTCATTAGCACTTTTGCCTCCTTCTTCTGAATCTACATGGCTGTGGCCACCACCACATCCCATCCATTCTTTCTGCATGCAGACCTCCCTGCACTGCTTAGAAAGCTTATGATATAAAATCCAAGCACCTCTTAATCCTAAGAGAACCATCATGATCTCTGTCTCTGCTAGCCTTCCCTGCCATTCAGTCCAGTCTTCAGCCATCCAGAATCGCTCACGCTTCCCTAGAATTCCTCTGCTTTCCCGGTCTCCTTGCTTTTGTACACACTGCCCCCTCTTCTTTGAATTACCCTTCCTTTGTTCTCTAAGTAGAAAACCCCTACTTCAGATCCACCTCAGGTACTTCCTTCTTGGATAAATTCCCCTCAGTATCCCTAAGGAAATGAAAAGAATTACAAGATAACATATAGTTAAGAGTCCTGGTGGCGCAGTGCCCTAGGCTGCAAATCAAAAGGTCATGGTCAAAATGTTGATCTACTACCTGCTGTTTGGGCAGCTGCCTCCTGTAAATATTTATAGCCTAAGAAGCTGCTGAAGGGTTGCCTTGAATCAGAATTGGTTGGAAGGCAGTGGACACGTTGGTGAGTGATGTAATTACCAAAACAGAAGCCTAGTGGCCACATGCATTAAGTGTTGGAGTGCTAACCAATAGGTCAGTAGTTCAAACTTCTCAAATGCTCTACAGGAGAAAAATTAGTCTGGTCAAGGTTAGGCTCAGACACCCTGTGGGACCACCTACCCTGCCCTCTGGGGTTGCTATGAGTCTCTTGACAGCAGTGAGTTTGGGGGTTTCCTTTTTTGTTAAGAGGCACAGTGACAAATAGCAATTATTTAGGAGTTTGAAGAATGAAGACCTTATTGTGGATTAGAAAGACAAACCAGATTCATATAAGAAATAGTTATTGCCAACATGCATGACATCCTCCTCCCACCACAGCCTGCCTGTCACACGACACACATGTCACTGGTTTAGCTCTCAGCCTCCTCATTAGTCTGCAAAATAGATCAGTCTGGTCTGATTTTATTCTCTATTCTGGTCTCCAAGAACCACAACAATGTCATCCTCAAAAAGTGGTATGGAAGAATTAATGAGTTGTTTTCCACTTCATCTGACAAAAGCTGGAGAGATCATCACGCATTATTGTTGCTCTGTGTCTTCAATCCGCTCAGACTGCGGCCTCATAGCACATAGTAAAACTTCCCCATGGGACTTCCTGGGAGAAGCCTTTGTATGAACTTATTAGCAAATCT